TCGACTCGTTCCAATAACCAAAAAGAGGTTTATCGCGTTTGAATGTTGGTCACACTACGCCCGTAGTGTGGCATTGATGTATACACGATTGTAAATCGTTCGCGTGTACGCGCCGTGCTTCGCAGAAGTATTTCCATGCCTATTTTGTACGAAACGTTTCGAGATCTCTCGTCACAACCGAACCGTCCGTAATCTCGTCCATGGAAACGACAAAAATGAACGCGTACAACGCGTTCGTGGTAAAAATTCTCTTTCGATTTTAGTAGGGAAAAATTGGAAAATGTTGAAAATTTCAGGCAATTCTAATTTGGGAGCCAACTCCAAATCGGAGGATCGATACGAACGTACGGACCGCGTAATTCCTAACGATGGTTAGGAAACCACGACTTGAAATTATTTCACGGGGAAACCCGACGGGAAAGAGGAAATCGAGAAAAGTTTGAATTTCGTGACTCTGCCGTGCAGAACCAAACTGTTCCTGGCCCGGGCTGTCCGGAGCTGCTCGAACGTCTAATTAGCGTGTCTCCGACGTCGACGCGTCTGTCTCCTTCGTTTTACCCTCGATTTGGACCTCAACGAGGGGGAACCTTGCGCGAAAGCCACGAACTCGATCGGAGAACATCTGATAAAAAGATCACATTTCGGCCAACAATCACATTGTCTCGATTGGCTAATTAAAAGGGATCCATTCCCACCGCGTTTTTAATTACGTTTCCCCCATTATTCGCGATGAATGTTTCCCGGCGACGAGCGCCGGTAACGAACGCGTCGGGACACCGGTAGAATTATCGAGGACAGGGCAACGTTTGACTTTAATTAAATTCCTTTAATGTAACCGGGCTGCGTGTCGACTTGCTTGCTTCCTCGAAAATTTTTGGTCAAACGTTTGGCGCGCACGATCGATCGTCGATTCGCCGCTCCTGGCGATCATCGATCCGTCCTCCTTTAATTAACTAATTTCCCGGAGACTCGATGGAAACTACGAGAATAAAGACAAGATACGAGCACCGATGAAATAGAACTCGAACGGTCGTTCGGTACCGTTATATACATGCACGTATACACGTAACGCGCTTTTAATCGAATTGCATTGTCCGGAAATAAGCACGGAGTCAACACAGACGACGACTCGACTCGGCTCGGCTCGAAATTCGATTGTAACCACGAAAATGGACCGCCGAGGGGCGGCGAGATTCGTGACGTTTCGTACGATTTAACACCTATCAGGCCAGATTTTCAATAAATTGTCTCTGCCTTGTCTCTTCGGGTCTATAAATTCAACGTCCCGATCGCTATACGCGAAAAAAAAAGAGACAAAGACAGTGTGACACCGTTACAATGTATTTTACACCTTTCAACCTCTTCGTATTTGTAATTTTTTTTTTTCCTTTCTCCTTTTACTTTCGTTTCGATATTCCCTTCGAAAGCGAAGGGAACTGAATACAACGAACTTCAAAGATCGACTTTCGTTAACTTTAATCGAATTAACGAAGCAATTGCCATCCGATATGCTCGTCTCAGATTCAGCGACGCGATCGATCGCGTTGTAACGATAAACTATCCCGGTACAGAGGGAAAGTATCGTGGAAGAAAATAACGCGGTGACAATTGCGCGGCAGACTGTAGCGGGACCGGTGTGGAAATTGACCTAGATACTTTTAGTTTCGTTAATCCGCCAGGGGATGAGAGAGACGGGACTGTGAAACCGAAGGAAAAAGCCAGGAAGAAACAGGAAATCCGATCTGGCCAGACTCCCCCGGGAATTCGGTGCCTGATGGGATAAACGAGGAAACTTTTGCGTTGACACGCCAGCCGGCCCTCGAGATCGAACGAACGTAACACCGATGTGAATTTCGTATCGTGTCGAGATTACAGTTATCCTCCCTTTGCTAGTTAACTATCAACTGAATTGTACTTTAAGCAGCGGAGTTCGAAAGAAACGATATATTTCGTAACGCGAGCATCGAAGAAACATGCGGATTTAACGTCGGGACTGTTCACAAGAATTTCTACAAATCTCCAAGAGATTCGTACTGTAACTAAATTACGAGTGGACACAATCTTTCTCAAAAACTTTCCCTTCCTTATCAAAGAATTCCGATACGTAGATCTTTATATTTTTTTACATTATTTAACGACGATTCGAGAAAACAATTAATATTTCAATGTTACAGAGTAAATATAGTAAGCAATAATTATTATAATGTTATATAATAAACGCAGTAAGCTGATAATCGTGCTGTATCTGAGACAGTCGAACGGATTTTACTCTAGGACTTACTACTTGACGTGAATTGTGTGCACTTGCAAAAAAAATTGAACGAAGAAATTCACTTGAAGACACGTCTATTGACACAAAACCGGCGGGAAATTCAGCGCGATGTTTCATCCGCGAAATCGGAAGCCCGCCTAGTCGATACGGTATTTGCGGTGACAATTTTTCCACGGCCCACCGCTTCGCCTCAGGTATTGAGTTATTTGGTATATGGACAGCAGAGCCATCGAAAATCGTTTCATTGTCATGTGCTGCTCTATCGGGCCGCCTATTCGCGATTCATCCGTATCCTCTCCCTCTTCTCTACGGGATCGACGCAAAGGCGCGACTGCATCGAGCGTGAGCGTGAACCGGAAACCTTTCGCCGTTGATCCGTTGCGACCTTTAAAAAAGAGACGAAGGCTGTTACATACTCCCATGGAAATGTATCGATTCGACGACAATCGGCAAGCCTCCCTTCCAAGATTGAAACACGCTGTATCAGACGACGGTCCCGAGCGGCAAAAAGAATAATCTGTTTTGGAAAGAACGATTCTTCTGCGAATATCGAAGAATGGCTTGGCAATGATAAATATCCTTTTGGCGATAACGTCCCGTTCTTACAACAATTGGACGCGTTCCAATAGGGAAAGCGAAGAGGAAAACGATCGATACGTGAAACGTCGGAGATGAGAATGGAAGTCAGGGAGTTTCAAGATACAAAAATAACGGATGAAGTTGTTCTCGAAGCTTTTTCGAGGAAAGCACGGGAGGAAGATTCGATCTGCCCTTTCCTGGGCGCAACAAACGAAAAACGAACCCGTTTTTCTAATTTCACGGTAAAGGGAAGGCCATTTATGATACCGGCGTGTGTGCAAAAACCGATGAAAAGATAGAGCGTGTAACTCGTCGATAAAACAAACAACGGATTACGGGGAAGCAGGCAATGCGGGCTCGTGTGTATCGATAACGTTCGCGAGTTACGCGAGAGGCGCTAGAGATAATTCGTGCTAATGCACGAGAAGGTCGTTTAACTAGCGTGTCCATTGCGCTATCGTTCGACTCCATTTTTTACCCCTCTTCTAGGATCCATCTTTCCCTACCTCGTCCGGGTAAAACATCCGCGTCAGAAACGCGCATCCTCGAAAACGATTGACCCAGATCCTCCCTTTCTTAGGTCAGCTAATTTACAACCTTCGTACCGTGTAAACAATATTCTTCGCAATTTCTATGTGTGAGCCTCGAACACTGCGAACATATTTTAGGGGCTCCGAGTGTCCACAAAGATCGGACTTAAAGGGAAAGGAATACTCGATACTTTCCGGGCTTTGGAGGGCGGAGAAAAATACCGGCACCTTTTCTCATTTAACACCGGATTAACGCCAACTCGATCACGATCCAATTCTACCTCTCAATTGTACATACGCGCACCGAGCACACGGTGAACGGATGTTCCCTCACGGCCACGATAAAAATATTTTTTTGAGAATCTGATCGTTCTGATTGCAGTATGTTTCCGGAGCGAACACCAGCGGCGAGGCGAGTCGCGTCAGCTACAGTAGCGTCAGCCAAAGCAGCGACGGTGGTGTCGGAACCATACTACCCAGCGGCGGGATGTGACGTCACACGGGGGCCCGACCTGGGCCTCGGCGAGAACGCGCGATCCGTTTCCGGGACACGTGATTGTAGACTCGCTTCTCCAGTCCATTTTCTCATCGTTCTGACGCGAGGATACTCGTCTCACAGATAGATCCGAACGAGGCGAATCGAGAAGATCGTTCGCCGATCCCCGCGTGTGCTTCCGAGCAGGACAAACCGAGGATCTCGTCGTGGATCTCAAGGATATGCGACGTGGTTCCGTTCTTCCTCTTCGTCGTCGAGCTTCACCGAGGCTGACGAAACAGTGGACCACGAAGAAGCGTAACGCGCGACTCGCAACAATTTCTTGTACATAGAGAGCAACAGTAGTTTCGCGTTTTGTACCTCTTCCGACGAAGAATCTAGTGGAAAAAAAAAAAAGAGGAACAAATCGAATTGCGGAGAAAGACGGTACCGTGAATCGAGTCGGACGGCTTGTTACCGTTTTTACGTTCGGACACTATCTAGCCTTTTAGCGAACCTTCGTACACGGAATCGTAAACCGAACAGCCGGCGATGGCGCGATCGGTAGTCTACACGGCGAGTTTATCCTGTTTTCCTGGACTCCTCCGATTTCAATACGCCCAACCAATTGTCTGCCGTTTTCGTTTCGATACGATTAAACGTTATTGTTCCTCGGGTAACCGTGAACCGAATCGCAAGAAAGAAAATACACTCTCTGTGCCTGTGTGCATTACGCGTTTAGGAGACTGACGACCCAACGTTTGGAATTTAACGTAATGTGGAATTGGTATTGGTTTCCATGGAACGGGCCATCTCTCGTGTCGGTGCATTGACAAGTGACTGTATAAATAAAAGGTGTGCACAAAGATAAAATAACGAGGAACGGATAAACGTATTAGCGCGCCAAGCCGGCTGTCGAGCGACAAAAAAAAAAACACGTGAAAAAAAAACAACACTTCTTACACGAGAAAATTAACAACGTTCCTGCGGAGAAAAAAATTGCATTTTCCTGCGAAAATCGAATATGCGCGTTCCGCACTGTTCTTCCAGTCACGTTGATCGTTAAATACGCATATGCGAACGAATTCGGTGCGACAAACCACTGTCTAAATTGAGAGTTATCTTCGAGTTTCCTCAAACCCGACCGACACAAGACTGGCAAAATCGAAAGGTTTTTTCATCGAATTGACGAAGAAAATTCCGTGAAACTGAACCGATATAACCGAATCGTTCCTTCAACTTTGTTTACAACTATACAAGACTATGTAATACAGCGTGAAACACGTACCAAGGCCGATGTAACTTAAGCGATGAATAAAGTAACAAAACTGTAGTCTGGATAATATTAAAAAAAAAAAAAAGCATGATTTCGTATTCATACACGTTGATCGCCAATTTCAAAAAGAAGAAATAAATCTGTTAAATACGACTTCCGTTTGAAATTAATTGATCGAACCAAGCTCTGTATATTGTTGATTTAAATATTTCAAAATCATTTCCTCTATTCATAAAATCTACTCGACAGAATACGATTATCATACCGGACAATCTTTAGTCGACAGACAGATACCTCTACTTTCAATGGCAGATATTTTTGCAGAACGATTATTTATTTTATCGAGATTATCTTAATGTAGGCGTTCGTTGTTGTATATAAAACAATTTCCATGCAAATGTAAATATTAGAACACTGTGAAACTAACTCATGTGAAACGTATATGTGTATGAGAAATTGTAACAAAAACATGCGAATATAAACAAACGTTTCCTCGAATAAAGATATATCCAATATTAATTTAATAATCCTATCTCGCTAAACACTACGAAAAAGATCAGATTGAATATTCGCTGTTCATGGAAAATTATGTCATCTGCTTGTTTTAGCTCTGACATATTAACTCTTTGCGTGTAAGACTAAAAATCTGAATACTATGCAATACAATAGAAAAATAAAAAATTTAAAAAAAGTGTTAATGTTAAAATAAACAAATGATTTACCTCGGATTTCAAGCCAACGAAGATTAGTCTAGTTGTACCATCCAATAATGGTTATTCTTATTGAGTTCTGTTTTTAAAATAATTTTTTACATGTGGCAGTCGTTTTCATTTATAAACCTTCGTGATATAAGGACCATTGCTAAAATAATCGCATTCGTCTCAAAAAAAAAAAAAAAAAGAAAATCATTCACAGGAAAAAAATGGCGCGTAACTGATTGGCGTCTTAACAAGTCTAGTCATTGTACATACTGTACTGTAAGTTCGTTAATGCTCGAAAGTTTAATAAAAGAAATAATTTATGAAAATCGATATGTCGCGTGAAACAAAATTAAAAAGGGGAAAATTATCGATTGGCTTCTTACTGATAAAGCAAAACGCGAATTATCAAAAAGAAAAATCATAAGTCCTACTCTAAAACAGTGTTTCCCACAGCCTCAGGCAGAGAGCGCTTGGTATATACGAGAAATTTAAGCGCCAAAATTGAATACTATTAACTTTTAACTTGTAGAATTTACATCATTTACTCAAGCATATATTCCCAATGTATTAGGCTGCATAAAATAATAACAGATTCTTAATCAACTCGTAATACATCTATTGGAAAACACTGTTTTCCTAGAGTATTATGCGTATACGTAACTTGTTATTCAAAAGCTGGATACTACGTTTAATAGTACATTGCGAAGACTTGTATTTCACTACGTTATTAAATCATGATACAGATATACCTACGTTATTAAAATCATGATACAGATATAAACGGCGAGAACGAATGTGAATGTGTGTGCACTTCGCATTATACTGCGTAGACTAAGACTTTCCTGGCCTGTACATATAATATAGAGAATGTGAAAAAGAACGGAATCGTCATATTTAATTTTTAAGAGGTAGATAACGTGCATACTCAAAAAGTATCAATTGACGTACAAGACCACTTAAGTACCTTCGAAACAAAATGTGTCTATCAATATGCTGTCCTTTATAATAAAAAATGGAAATGAAAAAGATATTCACTTCTTGTCCATCACTTATCCTATATTGATAAAATAAATGATCAATGGAATATACAATGCAACACAGCTAACAAAATCATTTATTTTACACATTTAGTTTTACGTTATAGAAACATATTCTCTTTTATTGTTTTTTATCGCAATAATCTATCTAACCCTGGGCTATATAAAATTTGTATTTTATGAAATATGAAAGAAACAATATAAAATACACTTTTAGCAAATGTTGGAAAACACTGGATGACATATAAACAGTAGGAAAAATATTGCAAATGTAATTAATATGTAACTATATTCTGGTTAAAATTTATGATCAATTATTTTTTATTACTTAAAATAAACATCTCTATGTTTTTGTCATATTTGTTAACCATGATTACAATTACATTTTATTAAAATGTACTAGTATTAATACAATTTAAAGATCACTATGATCTCGTCCCTTTCTCTTTGGTGCGTATTAGTTACATCTGTGTAAAATATACAACAGAATTGCATATCGAAAAATGCATGGCAAAGAAAAAACAATTATTTCGAGTTTTACAGAATAAATTCACCACCTAATATAACCTTTGTACTCTTCGACTATACTAAATCTTTTAATAGTTTCATATCCTAATATTATCGAAAAACTAAAACAAGCAGACTGTACAAGACGCGCGGAAAGTCCCTTTGTGAACATTTGCAACCTTTCCTCCACCCATAAAACTTTGAATGTGCTAAACATACTGTCTAATCTTTGTACTTGTAATCTTGCCCGTACTATGTCTAGAGGATTTGTAATAATTGTTGTAGTGAATCCTCCTAATGTGCCAGCAAGAGCTTGAATAAACAAGTGAGAAACCCACTCTGGGAACACTTTTAGAAGCTCTTCTGTTAACAAAAATGAAAGAAGTTATTATCTAAATTTAACTTATTTTCCATGCTTTCATTTTAAAATAATTACCCTGGTAGGATGTATATAGTCCCCACCAAAGGGCACTATTGGGAACATAAGCACACAATGATGCAACATATCCTCTATAAAAACCTCTACAACCATCTCTCTGATAAATTGATCTGATAATGTCTGCTGAAATTTGAGCTCTAGATTTTCCTGGTTCAAGAATTAAACCCAATGGATTCATACCCATCTGTAAATGACATGTGAAAGATAACAGATAAAATAAATGCATATTAATATTATCATTTCCACATTTACCTTATCTATATATCTTCCATGTTTATTGTTATTGATTCCAAGAACCATTAAGTGCTGACTTAGAACATCAAATGGTACTACTATTGTCTGTCCTACCAAACTAGCAGCTCCACCAGCAATTAATGATTTTATCCTTGAATCTATATTACCTATAACATCATTTTGTCCAAGTATATGACGCACACCTTCATACGTAGACACATAAAATACTCCAGATACAGTTTGTATAGAACTTATCCAAAATCCTCTGTATAGACCACTTATACCCTCTACTTGATAAATTTTTTTACAAGCATCTAACATTCCTGTGGAAGAGTTTAATATTTAATATGTCAACATTTCAATTGAATTGTTTAAAACTTTACCATTGTACATGTGGTTGTGCCTTTGAACTTGTAAACGAGTTTTAATCACTGTTAAAGGATATAAACAACAGCGTACAGAGAATGATGAGAGCATGCTCAATGGAAAAAATTTTGTCTTATCCATCATATCCCATTCGATGGTACGTATGAAATGTGGTGTTTCTACTGCAGACATCTTGTGGTTTTATGGCACTATTAACTTCACTATAATTATAATACTTATACAGTAAAGATCTTAGATGCTGTTGTTTAACTTTATACTGCATATCTCATTGATATTTGTTGGGAATTAATACCCAAATTATTTGCAAAACTGATAAGAGAAAAACGATTGTATAAGTATATTTTTCCCATTTTATGTTTCCCAAAATTATTCAACAATACAAAAAAATAACCCCACAGAAAATTTTACATGTTATAGTAACAAACACACTTTAAATTGGCTATTTTATAAATATTTTCATATGCATACATTCATTTTATAGCTAATCTTTCATAACATATAGAATAACGATAAGTCATTTAAATAGAATCTCTAGTTAATTCTGTAATATATACATATATTGTTCGTTATTGAAGTATAAGCACGATAGTAACACGTTAGTACTGTTGAATATTTTTATACATTTCAATAGTCACAAGTCAAAAATCACTGTCAACGAAGGCTGATATAAGATTTATCAATCGATAAATATTTGGAAAATCACACATTGTGAACTTACAGTGATGCAATACTTGTCACGATAATAAATCTCTTCCAATGAACATAATATCCATGGATAACATTATAGTAGAAATAATAATCTTTCACCGTATCGTGAATTCATCATATGGAAATTCATTTTTATATTACACAGCAAATAGCCTTGGTTCCATTCAGCGACTTAGAGCCATTGGTTTGAATAAAAAATTAAACTTACGAAATGGAGAAAAGTCCAAGAGAATCTGATCTAAATTTTTTTATGATTCTGCGCATGTATGAAAAGATTCAGTAAGTAGCGGAATCCATGAGTGAACCTGTGAAACATCATCACAATAAAACTAGAAATCCCCGAAAGATGCCGCTAGTAACATCTTTTATACTTTACACCACGGACGAGGTATACGAATAGATTTTGCACTTTATAGGACTATTATGGGACTTGATATCCCATGCTCTAAAATATAATCGACATACTAAAAAATCAATGGTTTTTTAACGCACTCTACGAGCTAAAACAACGGTGAATTGGAAAACTGCATCAAGTAAAATAAAACGATCGAAGTTGATCAAGTAGTGAATGCGTCAGGAACAATTTTTGAAATTCATTACAGTGTTGTCAATTTTCAATACCGAAATGTGAAGCTAGCAACTAATCGAAACTAATCATTCTATTACACATCACAAAAAGCTCTATCCATATTTCACAGTATTATGATGATCTTTTTTCATATAGTAAATTAAAATTCTAAGAGTTCGAAGAGTAAAACCGGAAACAAGTGGCATGCTCCATTTGTACCAATTTCACTGTCGATTTTTCAAAT